TCTTTGTCATTTTTTTTTAATAGGAGGGATTTAAATGGAAGATGATTAGACCATCTCCAACCGAAAAACCCATTCTGAAACCCATTTTGCAGTAACTGTCACATCAAACACTAATTCATCTACAACCGAAAAACTCATTCTCAAACTCAAAAGAATATTCTCAAAATATATTCTCTTTCACATCAACTTTACAACTTTTCAATACTACCTACATATTTAACAATTTTACAAATTAGACCCCTAATTATTTTATATTTGATTGAAAAAATAATCAATTAATTTATAAATTAATAATAAGTAATAGAATTACTGAATACATTTTTTTTTTCAGTAAGTGAGAAATTACATTATTCTTTATTTTAAATTTGAATAATAGTTATATTATTTGAATTAATTATCAATATATCTTAATCTCTTCACATATTTTTTCAAACTTTTGATGAAATCTCCTAGAAATATTTTACAAATACTTTTATAATATTTTTATTCAAATGAATATACTAGAAATCTTTTATGACTATTTTAATTGTGATAAGTAATATGAAAACATGTGTAATAAATTAGAGACAAACAAATATAATTCGTCAACTAATTTTGCATACCCAACAAATTTCCCCAAATTTCGATCTACTCTCCTCTCTCATCAATCGCCCGATAGCCTCCCTCGTCGGCGGCAATTTCACGGCCAGGGGTCGTCCTTGACCGCCTGGCCCCCCCTCTGGCCCGCGCTGCACCGGTTCCGTCTTGGAGCTCCTTGTTTGGGTCTGGTCGCTCTGCAGGGGAGATGGCTTCTTTTGACGGCGGCGGCAGCCTTCAGGAGCGGCGGCTTGCAGGTGGTTCGGGTCTCTTCCTTTATTGCCGGCGGGAGCTGCTCTGTGGAGTTCTGTCGTCGGTTGGGTTTCTGTCGTCGATTCCCAATGGTGTTTGGTGCGGTGTTAGTTTTGCGGGGGGTCAGGGCTCTGGTTGTTGCGGCTTGGCCGTCGCGGTGGCTGGGGCTAAGGGCGCGATCGACATTCGCGCGAACCCGTTTGCCTAGTGGTGTTAGGTGGCGGG